TTTGGAACCGCCGATCAGCTGTTCCCAAAATGGTCACTGGGTGCAGAAATGATCGCAATGCGGTGTTTAGCCTATCTAAACATCGCAATGCGATCGCATTAGCGCCCCCCCAAAAATTGGTCGCTATGCAGATTCTTCGTTAAACGGTGCACTCATTAAGTGAGGCACCACTGTACTTTGAATTGCTTGTGGGGAAGTCAAACTAGCTGCCAGGAGATGTTCTAATGATTATTGGTTTCAGCTCTGCTCTCAGATACAGACAGCAGTGGACACAAGTAACATCAAGGGAATGTATGATGGTATCAAGCAGGCTTTAGGTCTAATACAGAAGAAATCTGCTCGTTTGAAGTCAGCTACAGGCATGATCATCCAGGGCTGAGCAAAGCAGATGGAATGCTGAGTGCAGCACTACTCTAGCGATATTCCAGAGAGAATGTCGTAACCAAAGAGGCATTAAATAACATTAAATGCCTGCCTGTCTTGGAAGAGTTGGACAGTGAACCAACTTTAACAGAAATAAAAGCGGCCCTAGATTCCCTCGCCTCCAGCAAGGCATTTGGGAAGGATAACATCTCTGCTGAAGTGCTGAATTGCTGTAAAGAAATCATCACCACCGAGCTGTATGAAATATTTTGTCTTTGCTGGAGGGAAGATGGAGTACCACAGGACATGAAGGATGCAAACATTGTTACATTATATAAGAACAAAGGCAATGGGGCTACTGCAATAACTACTGTGGCATCTCTCTTCTCAGTGCTGTAGGGAAGCTGTTTGCCCATGTTGTGCTGAAGAGACTCCAGGTGATTGCAGACAGATTCTATCCAGAATCACAGTGTGGATTTCGAGCTAATAGATCCACCACTGACATGCTATTTTCCCTCAGACAGTTGCAGGAGAAATGTAGGGGACAATGACAGCCACTCTTTGTGGCCTCCATAGATCTCTCAAAGGCCTTAGATTTGGTTAGTACTGTATTTTTAAAATACTTCCCAAGATTGGATGTCCACCTCACCTTCTTAACATCATCAGGTCCTTTCATGAGGAAATGAAGGGTACTGTAATTTTTGATGGCTCAACATCAGATCCCTTTGACATCTGAAGCGGAGTGAAACAGGGCTGTATCCTCACACTGATCCTGTTTGGGATCTTTTTTGCTATCACACCTTTGGAACTGTAACAGAAGGTGTTTGTTTGTCTTTGGACTAGATCAGATGGGAGCAAATACCAAAGTCCAACTGAAATGCATGTGGGACTTCCTCTTCGCTGATGATGCAGCTGTTGCCCATTCTACTGAAGACCTCCAATAACTCATGAATTGTTTTAGCAAGGCATGCCAAGACTTTGGATTAACAATCAGCCTGAAGAAAACACAAGCCATGGGCGAGGGCATGGACTCACCTCTGTCTATTACCATCTCTACACAAGAATTGGAGGTTGTTCATGAGTTTATGTACCTTGGCTCAACTATCTCTGACACCCTCTCTCTAGATGTCAAGCTGAATAAACACATTGGCAAAGCAACTAGACTCACAGAGTATGTCTTAATAAGAAGCTGATGGTGTATACCAAGATCCAGGTCTATACAGCCTTTGTGCATGGCAGGAGAGGAAGCTGAACACATTCCATATACGTTGTCTCAGACACATTTTTGGTATCACCTGGCAGGACAAAGTTCCAAATAGAGCAGTCATAGAATGAGATGGAATTTTTAGCATCTATACATTACTGAAACAGTGATGTCTCCATTGGCTCAGGCATGTTGTGAGAATGGCTGACAGTTGGATTCTAAAAGATGTCCTGTATGGAGAACTAGTGCAGGCAAATCACACCAGAGGGAGACCACAGCTGTGATACAAGGATATCTGCAAGTGGGATCTGAAGGTCTTAGGAATGGACTTCAACAGATGGGAAACCTTGACATCTGAGCGTTCAGCCCGGAGGCAAGTGGTGCATCATGGCCTCTCCTATTTTGAAGAGACACTTGTCCAGCAGGCCGAGGCAAAGAAGCAATCATGAAACCATCAAAATCTGGGAGCTGGACCGGGACAGATTGTATTTGTCTTCAGTGTGGAAGGGATTGTCACTCCTAAATTGACCTCCTCAGCTACACTAGATGCTCTTCCAAGTCCTCTGTTCAGAACACGTTACCATAGTCTCTTAAGACTGAAGAATGCCTTATCAATCAGGAATGGACGAGTTGCCATGGTTTAATATTATTCAGTGGAATGCTGGACTAGAGAATGGGTGAGAAGAATTGGAGGAAATGATACTACAGACTGAAAAGTAAAATGGAATAAAAGAATGAAGTAGATGATGAATAAACTTTATAAAATGTTAATAGAAGTACAGGGTCATCAAGAGGTTTTAAAGATGCTATGGGTAGCAGATTTGGGAGAGGAAATAAGTACTGAGAAATGGAAGGATTTATAGAATAAAAGAATTTTAAAATGTATCTCTGTGAGAATAAAATAATTTTTCTAGAAATTAACACCAGTGAAATTGAAATATATGGATAAAAATATTGCAAGGTATGTTGGAGATATGAGCATGAAGTTGGAACCTACTTCCACATGTGATGGGAATGTGAATATATAATTACATTTTGGAAGTTGGTTTTCAAAGAAGTAAGTGAAATATTAAATTTAAATCTAAGAGTGTCCTAAAATACTTTAAATGATATTTGAGAGGGAACGATGGAAGTTTACAACAAAATAACTGATTATAAATTTAGGAACAGTGGCTAAATTAATATTAGCAAAGAACTGGAAGGTTAAATGCTATCTCCAAGTAAATAAATGATATAAAGAAGTGTGGAATATAGCTACTGATTATAAATTAGCATGTGAAATCAGAGTAAGAAAAGGAATGTTAAATAAGAATGACTTTGAAGATATATGGAGAGAATTTACTTTGTATTAACAAAGGGTTGTGTACCTTTGCAAGAATCAGTGTATTTTTGGAAGGGGAATGGGGCTCCATAAAAGGAAGGAATAGATTATTATTCTTTACATATATTAATAAATTAAAACACTACAGTTCACAAACAAATTGAAAGAGTACTATTAATTAGCAGCAGCAATTTTAGAGGGTAACAAAAAAGATGCAACAAATAGGATTTAAAGCCACAGACCTATAAAATATATAGTCTGACCAAATGCCATCTAATGAATTGCTTTCTTTAATTCCTCTTTCTTTAATGAATGGGCATAATAAAGTTGAACAACGAAGTTTTTTTCCTTGTTTCTGCTTCTAGGTATGCACAGAAGGACGTCTTATCTTGGAATTTACCTTTGATGACCTTATGAGAATAAAAACTTGGCACTTTACAATTAGACAATACAGAGAGTTAGTTCCTCGCAGTATTTTAGCCATGCATGTAAGTAACCGGCCCATAATTTTCTCAAAAATTCCAGTAACTTTTAATGCCATAATGCAGGTATTCTTCAGGGCTTTGCAACATCCTAAATCCATGGTGTGTGTTTGTGTGGCATCAACTCCAGTATTGTAGAAGGATATTTGGATGCACCAATTCAGGCTGGTATCCCGCCAACTGCAAACAGCTGAACCACAGTTTCCCTGATTTAAAATTAGTGGCACTCCACTTTTATACCCACAAAGTTTTTAAAATGTGTTAGAGTAAGACCCATTCACCTTTAATTTATCCATGAGTATTTGTTTGAGACAGAGCGTTTAAGAAGAGGAATATATTAACCTGCTGAAATCATCCATAACTGAGCACTGATAAAATGATGTTGGGGTCCCAGAGTATCGTTGTAGCCCTAGATGGCCTCTTTTATTGTTATTGATTACTTTAAAAAATAGATTTCTAAGCTCTGGTTTGGGGGCTCAGTGACTCATGGAAAACCACAGTGGTAAGCCCCTTCTGTGAGTGAGCACTCTATGGTTTCTCATGACTCACTTTTGTGGTACAGGTGGGAATCTCTACCCTTTCACTAAGCCAGTAGTCCTCAGCCTTGGGCCTCCAGATATTCTTGGACTACAACTCCCAGAAGCCTTCACCCCAACCTCTGCTGGCCAGGATTTCTGGGAGCTGAAGTCTAAGAACACCTGGAGGCCCAAGGTTGGGGACCACTGCATGAAGCCACCCAAGAGATTGGTTACAAGTGCTGCTTATATGCCTGTCATTACAACCTATTAGGCTGGCTGGTAGAAGACCCTTATGTGTGGTGGCTTCAGCCTTCTAGAACTCCCTCTGGAAGGATGTCAGGTTAGTTTCCACACTAGTTGCAAACAGGCGTTCATGAAAGCTAGTTGTGCCATTCTGCTTTTAGTTATGTTTAATCTGCTTCTTTTTAAAAACAAACAGTATTCTCACTTTAAAATAGTGTTTTATTAAATGGTTTATGATTCTAGTATTCATCTCTTTTTCCTCACAGTCCTCAGTGCAAAAACAGATCAGTCTCACTGTCATATGAATAATTCATTATTTTCCTTTCTGCCTTCCAAGTAGAAAAACGATTCTTTCACCTGTTAGGGATCCTTTTTTGTTATTATTTAAAGCATGTCTAGACTAGTCCTTCACCGTAATGCAGGGTTTGCAACTTGCTGCCTTCCAGATGTTGGTGAACTTCAGGGACCATAATTATGTACAGCCATATATTGACCTGGGTTGAAGTGAATCCAAGAACATATGGAGAACTATGGCTGCCTAACATTAATGTAGTGCAATGTTTTATGTCAGTCAGTTCAAGTTTATTGTATTAGCTAAAAGCTGTCACAATTGTTTAAAATACAGATATGGTCAAATAAAATCATGATAAAATCAAAGACATATAAAATAATAAGAG